CGAGTTGTGCAGGGAGCGAGAGCCTTCGAGGGGACCGGTGTGAAGGGGGGAGAGGAGAAGGGCGAGAAGGAGGAGGCGGCGAGGGAGGGAGGAGGAGTGAGGTCGGAAACGTCCGTGAAGCTTCAGAAGGCTGGGTGGAAAGTCTTAAAGCAATCAGAAGCAGTAAGAGCTATGAGCCCAGTTGAGCAGGAGGAGGTTAGCTCGATACGGCTTCGTGCTCGAGAGCTTGTCCCACGCTATAATCGTCTCGTCTCCTCTCCTCTCCTCTCCTCTCCTCTCCTCTCCTCTACTGTCCTCTCCTCTCCTCTCCTCTCCTCTCCTCTCCTCTCCTCTCCTCTCCTCTCCTCTCCTCTCCTCTCCTCTCCTCTCCTCTCCTCTCCTCTCCTCTCCTCTCCTCTCCTCTCACCCTCCTGCTGTGCAGGATCTTGAGGCAGCAGTCGAAGGGAGTTCGAAGCTGAAGGATGCGATCAGAAAGAAGCTGCCGTAAGAGCTGCCTGCTACCTCCCCGTCACTCACCCGCATGTCAGGTTCATGACGCTAGGATCGTCGACTAGATCGAAGGAGAGCACTGCGAACGCTGTACCATGAAGCCTGTATGACTGAGTAAGAAAAGCATGTGAAGAGTTCACAGCGTACACCTGCTGCTGTCTTGCACGCATCCTCTGCCGTTGCCTCCCTTCCCTCTCCTCTCTCATGTAAACCCATCCAGCATGAAAGTCTTCAGCACCTCTGCCATGCTCCGCATCCTCGTATCGAGCTCGCGCATAAGCGCATTATGCTGGTAGTCGCCCTCCCTCCCGTCCTCCTCCATCGATCTTCCACCTCTCATCTCGAAGGACAAGCTCTTACTGCGAAGCAGCTCAACCAGTCGACATGTCAGTTTGCACTTACCAGCGATCCATCAAGAACTCGATCTCAGCGTACATGTCTTTGGCCCGACAAGTTACAGACCAGCACAGCTCTGATTCACATGACGGACTTCTGTCCGGTGATGCTGCTGCTTCTGCTGCTGCTGACGATGAAGACGACGACGACGACGACGATAAATATCTTGATCTCCTCCACTTCAAGAAGTCAAGGATCGCATCCGATCGCTTGCGGATGGCTACGAGCTCTTGACCCGTTGAGCTCCCTTCGTTCCGCACGTCCCTGCAATGATCGAAGCAAGCTCGGCACAGGGCGAGATGCTGAGTATGAAGAAGCTCTGCAACTTCACCTTGAGAGGAGGGGAGGTCCTGAAAACGCTCACCTTGGCTAAGAGGACAAACGCAGCCATGAGCACAGCACGGCAGCTGCTGCGTCTTCTCCTCTCCGACAGTCTTGCTTCCTGCTCCAGGCATCTTCGTGCTAGGTTGTGAGGGCAGTACAACGATGGCTGACTTCACCTGTACAAGGAGTTGCGGCACAACTGGGCTCTTGTCCTCGCGCATGCTGTAAATGCAAACGTACGAGCTCTGCAGACTCGTCGCATGCTCGTCCCCTTCCCCCCCTGCCCGTCGTCGAAGGACGGAGGGATCAGGAAACACTGGAGACGTGTAAGAACATGTCTGTTGTTTCTTTCTACTTCCCTGCCCCATCTCCCCTTCCTCCTCCCCTCTTCCTCCCTCCTGACTTACCGGAGATGGCCGAGGGGGCGAGCAGAGCGTGCCGGAAAAGATAAGTCGTGATGAGCTCTCGTAAGCAGAGGAGATCAACTTTCTGAGGAAATGATCACAAGAGGAGCGAGGTGGAGGAAGGTTGGAGAGCAGGAAAGGGAGAGGAGACAAGGTGGACAGGAGGAGGAGGAGGAGGAGGAGGAGGAGGAGGAGGGAGGGGGCAGGGGCAGGGTTGGCTCTGATTACTTTCAAACAGGACTTCTCCCCGGCGGTGTACAGGATGTAAAGGTCGTTGATGTAAAACCTGTCTCCTTCCCCTCCCTCCCCATCCTCTCCGACGGCCTTGTTGAACTCCGTGACGATCGAGGGGTCGAGGAGCTCTTGCAAGGCATCAGATCCCTTCAGCCAGCACCTCACAAGCTCCTTCAGGTGTGAAACTGTCGCAACTCTCAGCTTGCTGTTTGACCCATCCGTTGCGGTCCAATCAAGATCCAGCAGGCTGGTCCCGGAAAGCTGACCAAAACCAGAGCGATCTTGTTCGGGGCGACTCGCTTGCACATTCCATCTGGAAGGAGAAACAAAACTTGTCAAGATGACGAGGTATCAAGATGACAAGATGACAAGTTGTCATGTGGAGGAGAAGCCGAGAAGGTCAAAGTGGAAAAGAGTGGAGACACGATGAAGTGAATAGGTATCAAACATCTCCACCTGTCATCGTCGAAGAAGTAGATGAAAGGGTCGACGTGTCTGATCGAGAAGACAGCATGATTGCGGTGGAGCAGCCACGTGAGCACGCGGGAAGACAGTTTGACATGAGGAGCAGAGCAGCAGATCGCAAACTTCATGTGGCGGGTCAAGTCCCGGAGGTATGTCGGCCCGCTCTGCTCCCCAGGCCTCCTCGACATCAGCCTCTCCTCCTTTGGTAGATCATCCTTGCTTGACCCGAAGATCATCTCCTGGAGCAGACTGTCCAAGCCTGTCCCGTTGTCAGCAAGCGGCGAGTTGGGGAGGAAACAGCAAATCGATGTTTCTCTAGAAGCCATCAACAGGAAAGGGGATGAAACATCATCACATCAAGCCTCGTGGCAAGAGCAGGTCAAACGAAAGTCATGACCCACCTGTAGCTGAATTGTATAGAAAACCGCAGCGAGCGTTGTCGGTATCTAATTTTTCTGCAAGGAAATGGTTTCAATCTATGGGGATGCAAGTGGAGATTGAAACATAAACTTGCAAAACATGCTCGTCATTCTCTGGTTACCGGCAAGTCTTCGCATCTCAGCAACATCGTCTTCATCTTCGTTCTCGAAAACTCTCTCGTCCATGGCTGAAGAAACACGGCAACGGGTGGTGTTGACGTTGTTCCTTCGGATTAGCAACCAAACCTTGACATGTTCATCTTCAAGAAACACAACATCACGTCTCAACAAGATCAATCAGCATCTCTTCACCTTCCAACATCTTATTGCGGAGACGTTTTGATAACATCCTCACGACGTTCTTGTGCAGCGGACATCTACCTACCCGAACCAGCCTGGGCGATTCAGGATGATCGATCATCAGCCGCAAGCTGAAGATCCTCCACGAGACGTTCTCGTACACATCGCTCGACACGTTCATGTCACTGTTTTCCACAAGTTTCCTCCTCTCGTCTTGTATCATGACCTCCATCAATCGCTTGAACTTGTAGTAACCAACAACGCAGCTTGTCCCAACAACCTCCATCCTCCCTTCCATCTCCCTCCTCATATCCATCAGCGACATCTCCCTCAGTCGCCATCGCAGCTTCTTCTTCGCTTCCGCAACCTCCTCTAGCCTCTCCGACAAAAGCCTTGCCACTCCTCCTCTTCGTTCCACAAACTCCTTCACACAATCCGCATGTTCCCTTAAACCACCAAGGACCTCCGACCTCACAACATCATCAGGCCCTCCTGTCTGTATCCCTTCAAGTCTGAGATCCCAGGAGAGCGCATGCTGCGGCTGGACGCTGCCCAAGACGCTCGGTCCCCCGCGCTGCTCGCCATGCCTCGTCTGATCCCTTCGATTGTTCGGAAACGCAATCAGGTCCTTCAGCATCTGCTGCTTCACCCGATCCAAACGCGCGCTCCTCGCATGGAAGGATTCTGAGATCCTTACAGCGAGCTCGGAGCCTTCGAGCAGCATGAGACCTTGCCGAGGTCGCTCCTCCTTCTCTTCGAATACCTTCATTGCCTGTTCCCCCCTTCCTGCCTTTCCTCCCCTCGGTCGTACGCCTCCTCTTACTTGAGATTCTCCTCTTGCGCCTCTTCCCATCAAGAGAACTTCATATTCGTGCTCCTCCTTGCACTCCCTGCCCTCCCTCCCTGCCCTCCCTCCCCGCATCTTCGCTCTCTTCATCCTCAGCAGCTCCGCCGCCATTGCGGAACCCGACAATGTTTTACGACCCGTGATTCCCTCTCCGATATTCGCTTCGGGAGGGGGTGGGGGTACTCCATCCATGGACGTACTCCATCAATGGGCGCTACGAGTCATAGTCATGCTGTGCATCTGCGTGAATAGCCAGGGAATAGAGGTGAATGCAGAGGGAGGGTTCGGAAACCAGCGCTCCAGGGAACAACCCACACGAACACGAAGATCAAAAGGCGATGATGCAAGCACAAGCGGATCGTGTGCTTGGGCTGCTGTGCATGATCACAGCCGAACAAGCCAATGTATGCCTCTATATTCCTCTACAAGTGGATCGTGACCTTATATACCAGGAGGAGACTGAGGAAAGCCTTCATTCTGAT